ATAAATCAAAATTAAACCATGACATATAATTTATATTTTTCCCCATTACTAGCACATTTTGAGACATAGATTGAAATAAACTCTCAGTCAATTTCTCAACTCCTCCCCCTTGGTCATGCATGACAGATTTGATATTGTCTTTTTAGGTTTAACTTATGTATGTCCAAAATGAGGTGGATCAGCACCTTCTTTTGATCTCCTCCAATTAGAATTTTTCAATATATATATTACTAACAAATACTATGTTTCTCTACCCAAGTTCTGTGGTTCATTAACAGAATCAAAGACAATTATCTGTAAACTCATTAAAATCATGGATCACTAAATGACTTAAGAGATTTTATTCTTCTGCCAGCTCCTAAAATGTTTAAACCAGATGAAGCAACTAACCCCTCTCCTTGTATAATATCTCATTGTTCTAAAGTTTTTCTTCACCTCCATAATTTGTTTGTTAAATATAAATCATCAACATAAGTCATGGCCAAGAGGGAGAGCCAACATCATTTCCGGCCACCTCTTAGTCCCCTTTTTTTTAACAATTTTTAGTTACATATGACATACATATCTATGAAATATACTTCAAGGAGAATGAAATTATCTTTAATGAAATACTATCAATATCACAATTGATTTTATATTGTATAATTTTTAGGAATGGCATATTATTCGGAAAGTCTCTTCCCCAAATGTTGTGTATCAATTTCCTAAAATGTACGCTTCATTAAGGAGGAAAGTCAGAAATTGAAAATTTTTAAGGATATAAAAGAGTTCTATTAGGGGCTATGGAGCCCCCTTTGAAATTCAAGGCAGGGGGGAGGGGTGCAAAGCCAGGCATGTAAATGTTTAATTATTATTACAAGTCCCTTGCTGAAGTCACCTCAGATTTATAATGTTTATTGTAATGTTTTATAATTTTGAGTTTATATTAATGTTTAATAGTATTGAAGAATGAATGTAATAATGGTTCAATGTAATATTTTTTCAAAGAATGATCATATTTATGTGTTTATGCACTTGAAAGAGAGTGCAATGTCAAACAAGGAGAAAGAGTACAGTTCTTACAATCTTTGTAGAAGTGGGTCTTTCTCATCCTTTGAACAATTTTTTTTTTCTTTTTTAAGAATAACTTTGCAGGGCAAAAACAATGTATAGAATGTGAAAAAAATTTGTTTAAAACTTCTACACTGTTTAGGAAGGGGCTTGGACTCTTTCCTGCTTTGATACAGTGTATAAAATTATGCATTTATTTAACTAATATTTCAAGAAACTCTCTTATCAGTTTGGATTAAGCACTGCACCAATAACCAACCCCAAAAACATCATAAAAATAAGGCAAATATTGCTTCATGTCACCTTTATTGTATAAACTGTTTTTGAATACCTACTGAATCAACAGCTTTCTGGCATTGTTGCCATGGCAGTAAATACTGATGAATGCACTCCTATTCTAGGTACTAAGTGATTGGGACAAGATAATAGTAATCCACCTTAAGTGAATTTTACAGAGAGGCAATCAGAAGTTTAAAGAATCCTGTAAATAAGGTGATCAACATGAAAAACACTTTAGGAGTTCAGAGATATTTCCGTATATACCTCGTACGTAATACTGGCTTTGTGCTCCAGGTGGATTGGCAATCTTAGCTGAAATAGGGAGAAATGTGAGTAATTGATTTTGCTTGTTTGAGTTTGCAACTATTCGATCTACGGGCTAGTCTACTCACGTCATGACCTACAATAGTAAATGGATTCAACATATTGTATTGCCATCAGTGTGCAACAATTCCAGAAAGCTGGTAACTTAAAATACACAAATATCTCTCTAATTGTAATCCTGCAGAAACCATACACAAGCATTTAGAGAAAATTTCAATTAACAAATCATTTTAAAGATCAATAATCACCTGCCCTGGCATTACACCCAACCAACAGGCCACCTCACAAGGGACGTTGACTGTACACTACCAACAAATCATATATATCCTGCATTGTCCTAAATCAGACATGCCAACTCCACGGATATGAAAAAGCAAAATAATAAAAATAAGCAAAGCCAATGAAAGCAAAAAACCTAATGTAGTGGAAGCACAGTTGCTTATTTCTTGAGATGCTTTTAAAAATCTTGATAAGACTCGAAGTTAGTACGTTTGTCTGATTTTATCTTGAATTATATATCATGGACCTTATTTTATATAGCAATCAAAAATAACACTGGAGAGTTTTATACTGACATGAAATGAAAATATGTTTTTCTAACCACATCAATAAAAACGTACATTTTCATTTTTTACTTTTGTATATTTTGTAAACATAAAAAAAAAGCATTAACATATGATTTAACTGCAGCGCGGGGCAGTAATGGTATTCTTATTAGAGCAGTCAAGCAGAGTAAATTTCACGCTCTGATAACTTTTACTCTCACTACACTCATAGAGGATATGTTATGGCTCCTCAGTTTCTTGAGTAAATAAAAGAACTTCATTAAAAATGGAAAAAAATTTATTGTTCAGTAGTACATAAAATTTTTCCTTTACATTAAAAACTACATTTTTTGATTAAAGATGAATGATATTATTAATAAATCGTTATTGAATCGATAAAAATATTTGAAAATTTTACTTTTCAAATTTTTAATTAAAAATTCAATTTGTGGCATAAGATAATTTTTAATTTAATTTAAATCAAAACCTAGAAATACAAAAAATGTATGAGCAAGTTCTTCTCATCTAATTCTCCTATATTTTTTTTCATAGTTTCTGGGAACTTCTTCCACTACCTAAAAGCAAATAGTTTTCTGATGGATGTTATAGATAAGATCCTTCTATTTACAAAGCCACTACACAAATCTGTAATTTTTAGTTTTAAGAAGAATTATGCATAGCTTCTATTATTACATCAAGACCATAATGGTTGTGTACATTTGACTAAGCCTTCACAGAGTTCTGACTTGGAAAGGAAATTTACTGATGGAATTTGAAGGTGTGTGTGTGTGGTGTGTGTGTGTGTTTGTTTGTTGTTTGTTTTTCTTTCTTTCTTCTCCATTTTGAACGGTGAGGGATCTTGGTAAGCATTTTGACTGGTAGTTTGTATTCATAATTGTAGATGCAATTTGATCTTGGTAAACAAGCTGAACTGAAATTAAACCAGCCACCTTCTTAAATACAGTCTTCCACATTTGCGTTTTCAATGTATGAAAGTAAGTAATCTACTAGTATTGTTCTACTTTTTACTTCAGTTCAGAGATTCTCAACCCTTCTGCAAGGATCCTTCACATTTATCTCTATACTATACCTCATACAACATAATCGTAACAGAGTATTGCACAAAAATAACTTTAAGATAACAATTCCACATTTCAATGTTTTTGTTAATATCTCAATGTCCTATACTTGCATATACTTCTGTAAAGTCAAGTTTCTAATCTTCAATGTTGTGCAATGGTTAGAAAATGCATATGTTTAAGAATAGAACATTGCATTTGTGTGCTGTGTTTATTGAAGAATATATTTTCTAGACAGACACCCCCCCCCCAAAAAAAACAATAACAACTAAAAAATGATTCTTTTTAAGCACAGCTTTGAAGTTTAATTCTTAGCACTGTTATTGAAGAGTTAAAAGTGAGACAATCCTCAAATGTTCAGATAAAACTGTGAATGTTGCAAAGGAAAAAAAAAAAGTTTTGTCTGATCTTATCAGTAAAAATGGCTCCAATTTGTTTATATTTTTTCTGTGGAAAGAGCAAAGAGGGTTTAAAAAATAGAGAAGATATCTTTTTATTTAACTCTGCATTTTTAAATTAGCAAAAGTTCAAAATTTTTTTCAGTGTCTTCCTACAACTACAATACCCACTGAAGATACAATTTTTTCCAATGAAATGTTTCCCAAAGACAGATATTTAAATAAAATCATGAACAATTTTTTCAAAATTAGTAGTTTTTGCAAAATTTTGCATGAAATATATGCAATTTTTAAACAATTCTTTTCTCACAAAAAGCTACAATTTATTTCTTTAATTCTTTTTTCTTGAATAGCACGAAGCATGCTTATAAAAATGCAATCTCAGTTTTGCTTATCTCTGTATTGAAAAAAAAATTATATTGCAAAAATACAATATTGATAGATTTTTTTCCGTCACAAAATGTGTTCTAAAATATTATATCTTTATTCAAGGTCAGAATTTTTTGAAAAAATTCTAGTAGTTTTCCCCGAATATTTCGTTAACATAAAGGCAACGTATAAAAAAATTTCAAAAACAGTTCTAAATTATCCTTTACATTTATTCCTCTGATAGACCAAAGAACAATTCAAAAAATGTCAAAGGTCTCGTTTTCATTGAACTTTATGAAAACTGCACAAGTTACAAATAATGTGAGAAATTATTTGCTAATGTAGCACCACTAGTTTTTTAATAAATGGAATCTTAATTGTGATTATACAGATAAGTTTACCATTCATTCATCACTATTGACTCCCATTTGTCTTCTCCATTTGCCTCCTTTAAAATTTCATCAATCTCAAAGAGGTCAATTCTAAACCGGTTGGAACCCATGCTCTAGTGAACACAGATTTGTAAAAATTCTAATTCAATACTTTTAAATATCGAAGGCCCTCCTCCATATTAAATTTATCAGCCAATTAATATCACCTTTCCCAGTTTCATCACCAAACCATCTGAAATCAGAAGGACTTGACTTCTGATTACTGTTGAAATATCCCAAAGGAAAAATAAAAATTAAATGTTTTCATTAAAAAAACATTAGGTTGCCAGTCTTCCAAGGTTTGTCCTACTCTTACTCCAGTATATACAAAAATCATTTTAATTCATTAAATTGTTTTCAGTCATAATTTTGAGCAAAGAAAAATTAATACGTGCTAGGAACATTGAACTGCCTTTTTCCAAAATGCCTTTCCTATATAGCTATGATCCTGGAATCTTTTCCATGCCTTACTTAATTTCCTGTAATTTTTCATGAAATAGTTGCACAGCAAAATGGCTTGCAAGTATTGTTCACTAAAATCATAACAAGCCTCAGTGGAAGGTGACAGATTAAAACCAAGAGTATTACCAGATATCAGTAAACTTATCACATAGCAGTAAGATATCAGAATAATATAGACCAAAGAGATTTTGGGATATAACAGTGCACAATTAAAAGATAATTGTGAAGTAGAAAACAGTAATGCAAATCTTTTGGCCAATTGACAATAAAATAATTTGTTTGTTATTGTGATCTTGTCTTCAAATTTAACTTTTGCATTTGTGAGAAACTATAATAAGCCTATGAAGAAAAATCATGTTATACATCTGTACAAGATTAAAGCAGCATTGAAGCTTGCAATGATATTTTCATATTTCTGAACATTAAAAACCTCAGAAAGCGAGTTTTTGGTAAAAACCAAGGCATTCTTAACCATTGAGATCCTCTGTGGATGAAACAAATAATTTTGAAGTAATTACACACTACTACTTTATTTATGGGCTCATATTTATGAAGATTATTTCAAGTTTGTGTGCTCATATTTATCTTAAGACAACTTAAATTGATTGCTATATCTCAGAATATATATGAAATGATTTATAATTTTTACCAGTTAATAAACTTCATTAAAATTGAAAACAGTAGCGAGAATTTTTTTTAACACAAACATCACAAGATGTTTTGAAAGATTTTAGTTTTCAATTTTACATCTATAAATAAAATCGAAATGTAATAATTCTCTGGGATCTAGATTCTTCTAAAAGTTTACTGCAATCTTGTAAAAACTAAGCAAACAAAAAAATTCATGGCAGGTTGATTTCTCTTTCATGTTAATTACTATGTTTGTGACCAACAAGTTTGTCTGTAGGTAAAAAACTAAAAATTTCACTGACATAATTCTTATTACTTTACCAAATTAATCATACTCGAGATGTCTAAATGTAATCATTAGCCTCTTAAGATTAATGACAAGAAATTTCCATCGGTAAAATTTGTTTGCTATTTTCATCACCAAGTTTATTATTTTTCCTCTAGATTTAGATTCCTGAATTGCACATAAGATATCTCTTGAACGATTTACATTAATTACCTTTCGAACTAAGTGACAACACCGATACATCAAATTTCTTTTTAATGTGATTAATAAGCGGTGAGAGAGAGAAAAAAACATAACAAGACCCCAAAAGTCTTTGCAATAAAAACAAAAATAATAAATGATCTAAAACAACAATATCATTGATTTCAAAATCAATCCCAATGCAAAAATTGGATGACTCAATCACTGCTACATCAAGACAAAAATTTTGTTTTTACAAACAAAACAAAATCTCAGAAAAATGTGTATGAATAGAGATATGTTTGAACAATTGATATTGGAGAAGTAAAATAAAATAATCAGTGAATTTTAGAAATTATATTTGAAATACTGAATACTTAAGGCAGGACTAATTACAATGAAATTCATAAAATAACACTAGAGGAATGAATCTTAAATGTCAAAGAAATAACATTTGATACACTATATAGTACAAATGTGAGAAAAGACATCAGAGAATGGAACGTGTTTAGAAAGACCTTTCTGCAAACAGAAAAATTCTAGTAAAGTCAATTAAATTCTGGGCTATAAAAGGAGCAAAAAGGAAAAGAATCTTTATAAGCCAAAGCAAAGATCCAGAAATCGAAGAGAAAGAGATGGTTAAAGCAATATCCATCCCTAATAATCTAGCTTTTTACTTTCAAGACCACAGTAGATCATAATGTGACTGTTAAGTCACCTATTACAGGATATGAAAATTATCCCAAACCTTAAAAAAGTAATAAAAGTAACAACTCCTGGCCAATATCTTTAAAAATCTCATTATTTATCAATCACCCGGTTAACAGTATATTAATGTTGAAAGAAAGAATTCAAACAAAACCTGTGGTGAAATACACCACATTTTGCACCAAAGACAAGTGTTAAAAGATTAAAATTACCATTAAAATTATATCTATATTTTTTCATTGCACAATACAACATACACAAAAATCATCTCCGCATTATGCAGTTCACCATTTAACATTAAATTTCATTATCGTAGTCATTACACAGAATTGAAAATATCACACACCAAATGTGTAGCCAACTCGTATAAAGCTGGAAACACGTTTCCATAACATGATGAATTATCTTTGGATTCAGAGAAACTCTGATACAATTCTCATTCCAAGGAAAAATTCAGTGAAAAACAGTACAACACACCTATGTGCATAAATTTGCAAATTAAAAGTGAGATACCTGCACAAGACTATGAAGATAACACGAAAACGTTGAAAATAAAATTACAATCAGAAAAATAAAAATGAAGTCTTCCTTTTTGTCATCACATTGACTTTCAGAAATTTCTTTCTTTTAGATACCTTACATTCATTCTACTACAGAGCTCCAGAAAACATGCCATGAATTTTATTGTTATAGCAGAGCAAGCAAACACATATTTGTCCTCTTAATTGTTTATTATATACCAAATGTTTTTTTAAGTTGCAAAACCTAATCAAAGAAGAAAAATACTCTAATTAACAAAGAAAAATATATTTTGAATATTACTTTTTAGTCAAAAACCATTGCATCTATTTAAAATATATTCGTTTCATAAAACATGATAACTATACTTCAAAGTACAAGAACACCTAACTCTGCTATTGACTTGAAAGTCTCCAAAATTTATAGAAAATTCCATGTCGATCCACAATTACTATTTTTTGTTCCTTTTAAAGAATATTAACTATCTTTACTGTAAACCCTTCCCATAGGGACAAATGTAAAAATAGTCAAACCACTAATAGGCTTGACAATATATGATATCAAGGTGTGATTAATAGAAACTCTTATTTCTATAAGTTGTATATTTCTAAATTCTATAAAACAATTATAATACATGTGTGTGTTAAAATGTTAATGTGCTTCGTAAACATACAAGCATTAAACGCCAAATGTTCTAGGTAGCATTCAAGTACAACAGACAATCTAGAATAATGACCACTAGGAACCGAGTTTCTGAATGTAATTAAAAACGGACGCCTTATTGGCAAAATTTTTGAACAGAAAATGAGACAATCTGATTTTTTTCTATTTCCCCAAGGTACAGTCACACAGTATTCAAAATATTTTTCATGATTATTCATGTTCCTTTCCTTATAGAAAACACTTGTATTCACAGAACATTTTGCAGGATCACAAGAAATATCGCTCATTGCCAATATTGGTTTTATTAATACTTATAAACCAAAACATTATTTCTATAAAACAACGATAAAAAAGTTTATGAAGAGAAACTTATTAGTGTCTATATTTCTGGTTAAAATCAAAATAGTTACATAATTACAATTATTTTATTAAATTAATTTAGTATTTAGCAATTGTGTAACAAAGTCACACATGCAATTTTCTATTAACGTACAAGATTTTACACAATGTTCCTTTATTACATCTCAATGTTAATTTATTTTCCATCTTCTACAATTAAAAGCATTTTAATTTCATTACAGATCTTTTAATCACAATTTTTTCGTATTAAGCTGTTTCACAAGTAAAGGTGGTAAATTGAGCGAGAAATTTTAATTCATTATTGCAGCAACACAATTTTGAAAATATCAAAATTAAAATTAATCAGAAGAAACAAACTTGAGAAAGAACAGGAAAGCAAAATCTTTCAATTTCATCCATCAAACTGCATTGGGTCAGAACAATTTCAAATGAACTGACAATTAACTTCAATAACGCAGCTTCTTATTCAAGCTAATTAAATTGTTGACAAATATGTAAGATCTTTTTTTTTATATTTTAAATCTATACCATATTAATTCCATATTTGGCAGTGGCAGCTTGATAACTCTCCCTTCTGAAATATCCCATTAGCCAATTTTTTTTTAAGTCGCTATTTTACAATAAAACAAATGGGATAATTCACCTATTTTGAGCAGATTTGTGTTAACTTCAAATTCACTTAACAAACTGCCAAAGTAAAGAGAAAAGGACTTTAAAGTCACACATTTTGTTACTTCTTTTGAAGAAAACAGCATTGTTAAATTGATGAAATGCTCACTCACAAGGATTCTAAGTTAGTTCTGTACACATAATTTGTAGACAGATCGTCCTTCACACTTTAAATAGCCCAATTAGAAACAACAGTAGGTATGCAGGCAAGCAAAAATTAAATAACTGTCTTGTCCCCCTGAGACACAATCAGCAGTCTTTTTGATTATTTATATGGGCACAAGGACATTTCCAGTACGGGGTTTCTGTTCTCCTTCGGCTGCATCACCTGAAGGCTGATCTTCAGGCCCCCTAATTTTGATGTTATATTTTTCCCTATATTCATTTATTTCTTGTCCCTTCTTGGTTAATTGTTCTGTTAAATTTTCAATAAATTTTTCCAGCTAGAAAAAAATTAAGGTTATTAAACAATTAATCACAATGGAAAAATAAATGTGATTTCAGAAACGTACTGTCACTCACCTGTTCTCTGTTTGATTCCAAAGCAGGTAGAACTTCTTTTACTGTCTTTTCACAAAGAATCCCACCAATCATTCGGAAACACTTTCTCTCTCCATCTGCTTCTTTTAAAGTCTCAATAACAAGCCTATGAAAAAGTACACCCTTACAGTCATATTATATTTAAACAAACAGCAGGGAATTAAAGATTTAAATGTCTCAAATTGAGGAATACTATGATTTTTTATATTTCAATTAACGACTTTTAATATACTACTTTTCTTTGGTACAGTAAAGCTATAATGACAGGTACGCTCTTGTACAATAAAATCAAACTCAAGTCCTGAAATTATAGATATTTTGACGAAAAAATTCCTCACGATCGGCAACACCAGACTGATTTGTCAAAATAATGAAAAACAATGACGCAATATTAATTGCTGTATTTGATGGAAAATATCCATAAAATGAGGAAACTGAAATATGTAATAATTACAAACGCTGGAGAGGTAGGAATTTCTTCACATGTGCTCAGAAAATAACCGCACAATTCGTCCATCTTTCAGGTTAGATTGACAACTTACTTATGTTCATGAAGCTCCACTTCTAACTCGGAAAGTTTGCTAGCCATATTTCGCTGTTCAGCCCTAAGCGCTTGAAATCCATTAACAATTTCTTCACTCGATTTGCCTTTAGATTTCTGCTTTTTCCCATCGCTTGCCATGTTCGCTTGATTCAGGTTGATTTGTTCCTTCGGCTCGTTCAGCTATGGTACCGATGTCCGCTAGATATATCGATTATACTTGCAGCGATTTTCGACTTCCCGCGAAACTTAAACCGTTGAAGGTGATGACAAAATTGAATAGATGAAACTATACAGTTCTGTAATATTGTCTTGTGTGAAAGACTTTACCGAAAACTTACATAATGAATTATTACTTTTACTCATTACATACACGGCCATGATTTGAACGAATAATATTCAAATTTGAAATCTCTTAACGTAACTTTAACAAGTTGTTTCTTACAACTATAAAAAGATTCTCGACTTAATTTAAAACAAAAACCACATATGTTCGATGTCAGTGTTTCAGCTCCTACTTCGATTTTTTTTTCTACAATAATAATTCACTAATTCTCTATTTCACACTTAGTCTATAGACCTGTTGAAATCACCCAGTATTTATGAAGAACCCCATACAAAAGAAACAAATAGTCATATTATGACATATTTTTATGTTACTTGTGTAGATTCATTGGAGGAAGTAGCATTGAACCTCATTTAAAATATACATGAAATTGAAAAAAATGCGTGGATGTTAACTCTTCCTGTCTTTAAATTTGTCATTTAAAAGTTTCATACTTTCCTATGCAAACTACAGACTTTACAATTCACGTGTATGCTCATCACTGTATGCTCGACTGATGAAATTAGCGCCATTCGCCAACGTGTTCGTAGGTAGAAACGAAAATGTTCCTCCGCGCCCCAAGCCTCTCAACTCCGCGCGAATGAGATCTCTCGGCGTCTGCATTTGGTTACACGCAACGAACATACCGAGCGAACATTCGCTTGTTTCCGCCAGCCGTGTAAATGCACCTAAATGCACAACGATTGGTAATGAGTTTTACAAGTGATGACTTAAATGGACGGACTTATAATTTTAACACAGGTAAATATTAGCGAGACGAGAAAGAACGTGCTGATGTAAACACAAGTTAATACGTACAATTGTTTTTACGCTGAACCATTTGCTTGGAGAGTCTCTTCTCCAAATGTATAACATGTTCCGAAATCGTCATAGGTAATACCACAAGTGCTTTGGAAATCGTCGATAAATTACCGACTCGCGAAGCGAGGTCTGGGTTTGAGAATTTCCAAAACACGAGTGGTACTTAATAGACTATTTCACGAATGAAATTACGTCCAACAGCTCCAAAATGCGTCAACTATTGAAAATAATTGAAAGCACGTTAAAATCAAAGAGATTATGTTATAATGCATACGCGGTTTATTGTTAATCCACACATGCAATCAGTAATACATACCGCCTCCTAAGATAGAAAAATCGCAGCTTATTTTTATTGTCCAGTAGGGAGGGGAAAAAATTGGATGGAAAAAGATAATTTTTTGAGATACATCTCCCTGATTGGGGCATATTATATGTATGTATATGTATGTATGTATTGGTTTTAATTTCACGAGTCAGCTTACCCCTTTACTACGGCGTAAGATCTAAGAGTATAACACTTCAACGTTGAGTCATATGTACCCGACCACTCTGATTCAAGAAAATTGGACCCTTTGTATGGCTTTGGGGAGAAATATGTTTTTAGTAGAATATATAATGTAGAAATACATGAAAAATAAAAAATCGTCCCGTTTACAACATAAAATAATAAAGGTAATTGATACTTTTTTGTTCTTCGGTCTACACTGTAATTACTGCATGTCAAGTTTTTTTCAATTGTTAGAAGTAACAATTTCTGTCTTCTGCAGAGTGCCTTCGTTATTCTTTTTGTCCTCATATAAAGAAAAAATTACTACAAAATGTAATATGGTTAGTACATTGTCATCTTTGTAAAGCCAAAGAGGCTTGAATTTTTCACCTTCTTTGTTTACTTGGCAAGAATATCAGAGAAGTGCCCGGTTTGTTGTCACGCGAAGTTCCAAAAATGCTTTTGTTTTTTCACCCCCTAGAAACAGTGTTCACCCCTTACCTAATACAATGAGTCCCGAGGGCAGAGTTAGCGCTAAGGCGCAAGCTTACACACCCGCCACATTGAAATATACAGGAACACTAACGCTGGCGTCGCGTGAGAAAGGGCAGTTTACAGGTATTTCAACAGCATTTTTCAATGCACGCTACGAATAGGAACGCTTTCAGAAGAGATTGCATGGAGTGCGCATAATTGACCCGACGCCAGTAGTTACAGGTTAACTAGTGGTGCTACAAATGGCACAGACTTTCCCGTATTAGTTTTCTATTTCCTTTGGTCTGGGCAAGTTATTCGGACTTGTCAAATACTCTTGGCAGGTGCCATCTATCGCCGCCCAAAGTTGTTTTTTTTCTCTCATTTTTTCGGTTTCCTAATAGTAGAACAGAAATATTGTTTTAAGAATATTAAAGAACAGTAAAACATCGTCATAAATAGCAATTTTCTTTGAAAATTTTGGAGCCGAACATGGCATTTTATGAACACGGCGTTTAAGCGCTACTGTTAATTCGAAATTTATTAACGGCGAGAAAGAGCTTCCAAAAAAATTACATTTGTATAATTATAGGAAAAATCAAAAGAATACTCCAAAATGAAATTTCCATCAAATTTTTCAGTGTAAATTGTACTATCCCTGCGAAAAATTTGAAGAAAAAATTTGGAGCCGTTTTTGAGTAAATGGCGTTTCTGAAAATTTCCGCAGAAACCGTGATTGAAGTTGGTGAAGATGTAGTAGATCTGTTGATAATATTGAAAGCTTTCTGCAAGGATGTAAAATGTGTCCTTTTTAATAAAGGAAAAGGACAAAGTTTATTTTTCGCCATTTTTCCGATTGCTGCTATAAGTGAAACAATTACCAATAATTTTTTCTCACAAGCGACGAGTGGAACAGGGCTCAGCATTAACCAAGGACGGAAAAATGATCAAGAACACTAATCTTTGATTATAAAATTATACAAACTCTCCAACGCAACTAGTTAGATGGTTGCTGATGCTGGCGAACTTTTTCGGGTTTCACTAAATCAGCTCCAGTGCGAAGAACGTGCATTTACTCAGGAAGTTGATATTTGTCTAACAAAACTTCCTTCAGTTACAAAGCAAACATTCTGCAACTACCACCACCGGCAGCTCCAGCACAGCAACACTTTTTGAGAGTTTATTATCAGGTACAGCAACGGCTAGATTAGAAAAATCCAGAAGAGTAAAGAGGGAAAAGTACGAAAATGGCCTTGCACCTTTGCCAATGACTTGACTTGTTAGTACCCTTGCTCTACCAGTGTTATTGAAATTTATTTCCTGCAAGTGCTCCAAAAACTGCAAAAAAAAAGTGACTGCAAGAAGGAAAGAATTAGTGATCTAACTTGTGTCTGAACTGCGAAAAGTGTAGCGACAATACGATAGTCGTTTCTGAAAATGACCTGAAAAGCGAGTTACGAGCTAGATTAGATTAGATTTATTAGATTTATACAGTCAAAAAAACAGTAAAAGCTATGTTACGTAGAGGGGAGATGATTATCTGCGCACGTTTTCTTGAGTTCCAGAATCACTTCCCATCATTTTAAAGCTGAAAAGAGAGAAACGTTTAACGTAAATAATAAATAATAATAAATTTTAAAAAATCGCAATAATAAGCAAATTGAAAAAATAGCATAGACAACGCAAAATACTCGTTCAGAAGCATTCTTCTTAGTCGCCTTTAGGTGAGTAACTACTGTATTTGTTTGCGAATATGATGTTTATTATTTTTATATTTTATCATATTATTATATATATATATTATTATTATTATATTAAATATATATATAGTATATTAAGATCCACAATATCTCACCACGAGGGTTGCCTGTGTCTACATTATTTTAGAGGTTAGAAAACCCGAAAAACAATATTATTAATATCGAAAATCTATAATATTGTTTTTGTGCAAAATATTCCCCATGAGGATCTACTATACACTTTGCATGCGTTTGAACCAATTTCGAAGCACGTTTGCCACTCTGATTGAGGTATCTCCAAAACATGCATCCTGAATGCAGCAACCGCTTCTTCAGGTGTCGAAAAACGTTGACTTCTCAGTTTGTTTTTTACGTACGGGAATAAAAAGAAGTCATTCGGTGCCAAGTCATGACTATATGGCGTATGAGACATCAAATCGATGTTTTGGGTGCTCAAAAATGCAGTTGTTTGAGCCGATGTGTGACAGCTCGCATTGTCGTGGAGAAGAGTGATCCTCTTCGGCGGTTGGTTTTCCTGATTTCTTGGAATACAGCTGGCAAACAAATCGTTGTGTACCACTCAGAACTGACTGTTCTGCGTTGTTCTAGTGGTACGGTTGCGACATGTCCAGTTTTTCCGAAAAAACAGGCGACCATCTGTTTGGAAGTGCTTCGTACGCGAACAACTTTAGAAGGATTTTGCTCATCGTGAAACACCTATACAGTTGACTGCTGTTTACTTTCGGGCTCATACGCGTAAATCCACGATTCATCATCTGTCACGATATCATAGACGTGTTTCGAAGCACCGCGATCGTATTTTTTGAGCGTATTATCTTTCGACCAACCGACACGAGTCGTTTTTTGAGTGATTGACAAATTGTGTGGGATCCAACGCGAACAATTTTTTTTGACAGTCAAATGTTCATGTAATATTGAATGTATGTTGGTCCCACTAATGCCTAAGGTTGTCTCAATCTCACGATAGGCCACATGACAATCTTGCAATATCAGTTCACACACAGCATCAATGATTTTCGGAACAACAACTGATTTTGGACGATCTTCGCGAAATTCGTCTTGGAGTGAACTACAAAAAGATTGAAATCACCATACCATCGATAAACACTGGTCCTTGATGGAGCTTCATCGCCAAAAGTTGAATTAAGTTCATCCATGCACCGTTGCTGAGTTAATCCACTTCGAAAGTTGTAAAAAATAATCGCACGAAAACGTTCACGATTTAATTCCATTTTTGGGCCAAGATGAAGCTTTTAAGTTACTGTAAACAATACAATTAGTGTTCGTATGTCAAAACGTTCTGAGTACGTATAACCTCAAAACATCCAACTTTACGATAGAGCTGTCAGTTACCAGATTGCAACACCAGGGTTGCCAAATCCCGAAACATGAAAGGCAACCTTCGTATACCGTA